TCAAGCGAGTCTCCTGCCTCCGCCTCCCAAGTAGCTGGGACCACAGGCGCCCGCCACAACGCCCGGCTATTTTTTGGTTGCAGCCGTCCTTGTTGTTTGGCGGGTCCCGGCTGGGGATTCGAACCCGCCACCTTAGGTGTACATGGCTGGCGCCTTAGCCGGTTGAGCTATAGGTGCCGAGCCAAGAATCAGATTTTCTATGGATCTATACTGAAAATGGTTTTGCCAGGATTGTCTTCTTGCTGAGAAATCTATAGGTAGATGGATTTGGAATTCAATTCCCTGTGAGAAACAATGGCCAATGAAAAAGAAGAACCCAGGGATAGGTTTCCTTTTATGTTTTTAACTGGTTTGGCTATTATATTAGATTTCCATTTATTGCATGGAAAACAATGACTAACCTCAGGAATGATACTAATATTTTTAGAAGTATGAAAAGTGTCTAAACCTGGGAGGCTGGCTTACATATCTTTGAAGGTCTCTTCTGATCCATAGATACGCAAATTCTAAGACTTCATTTTTCCTTAGTTTATACTTTTAAAAACCACTGTGGTAAGATACACATAACATGCCATCTTAACTATTTTTAAGTGTTCATCTCGAGTGTTCAGTATATTCACGTTGTACAACCTCCAGAGCTTTTTTATCTTGCTCAACTCAAACTGTCCCCACCGCACGACTTCCTATTCCTTCTCCCCGCAGACCCCCCACTGTCTCCATGAATCTGACTACCCCAGGGACCTCATGTGAGTGGGTCATACAGTATTTGTCTTTTTATGTCTAGCTTATTTCACTGAGCAGCCTGTTCTCAGGGGCCGTCCATACTGTGGCATATAACGGGACTTCCTTCCTTCTCAAGGCTGGATAATACTCAATTGTAGATACAGACTGCATTTAGTTACACGTGGGTTGCTTCCACCTCTGTCTATTATGAATAATGCTGCTATGAACATGGTGTCTCTCAGTTTAGGGGGACATATATTCAGAAGCGAAGTTGCTAGATCTTATGATGATTCCATTTTTAATTTTTTGAGGAGCCACCATACTGTTTTCCATAGCAGCTGCACCATTTCACCTTCCCACCAACAGGGCACAAGGGCTCTGATTTCCCCACATCTTCACCAACACGTGCTACTTTCTGCTTTTGTGGATAGCAGTCGTCTTCAAGGGTGTCAGGTGAGATCCTCCGGCTTGTACTTTCAGGAAGGAAGAAGGGGGTGGCTGGTGACTGAGTCAGCTCAGCCAGAGGATCTTTTAAAGCACACATCAAATCGCCCTTAGTTCCCATCACACAGGGATAAGAGCCAACCCCCTTACTGTGACTGAGAAGGACTCTTGTACTCTGGGCCCTTGCTGTCTCTCTACCTCACCCACTGCCTCCCTGACACTCCGCTCTGCTGAGACATGCCAAGTTGGTTCCACCCTCCAGACCTTTCTGCCTGGAGTCCCTTTCCCCATATCACTCCACAGCTCGCTCCCTGCCTCCACTCAGATCCCTTTTCAACAGTTACCTCCTAGAACAGGCCTTCTAATCTCACACAATATCCCTGCTCCTGGCACTTTCTGAGAGCATCAGAGTATGGTCACTCTGCTTTCGTGTTCTTTTGTCATACTTAACACTACCTGAATTATTTATTTATATATTTGTATATATCATCTGTTCCCCAAGCTAAAGTGAAAGTTCTGTGAGGGCAGGACTCGGTCTATCTTGTTCATCCCTATACGCCCAGCTGCTACAATGGTGCTGGGCAATGCTCAATCAGTAGATGTTGCAGGAATGATTCAATGAATAAATACCTAAAGGGATGTTTTGGCCACCCCCTGCCTAGCCAGGGTGAAAAGGAAAAAACGATCTCATCACACCAATACAGTTGTCAGAGGCTGAGCTGGTCATTTTGGACTCTCCACAGAGAACAGGGGAGAAAAGTACTCACATGAGTCTCCACATCACCAGCAAGGATCCTACTGTTCTTTAAAAACTCGGCCACCATACCATTCATCAGCTTATCAAAGGCTTCCACGGAGGGTGCCACACCTTTGGAAGAGGAGCATTTTGTTATTCCCTGGTAGTTAAATGAAAAGCTGGGACTGTCTTGTCATAGGTAATATGGAATTTTAATATCACTGATGTCCTTCTCACTAAGTCATTCACTAAGCCATCCCCTCACTCAATCAGTATTGATTAAACACTCCTCAATGGCTCAAAAAAATATTATTTTCCTAGTTTTCATCCTCCTAGCTAAAGATTTCCTTCCTTCCAAATCTAGGGAAGATAGTGGCACCAGCACAGTGTTACAGATGAGAAGATGGAAATGCAACAGAGCCCATGACTGGACCAAAGGTTCAGACCAAATAAAAACCAGATCCCAAACCTGAACTTCGCCCATTCCCCAAAGCCAGGGCACTTACTTCTACAACCACCTGCCCAGGTGCTAGGACAACCTTACAGTTACCGAGATTACCCAGGACAATTAAAAGGTAATAATGACCCCTAGACAAGGAGGAAAAGGATGCTGATTTCCTTCATTTTGTTTCTTCTTCACTCCCCAGGGGGAGAGGAGAGGACCATGGCCAAGGGAAAAGGACCATGGAGCCAACACCTCTTGGGTTTGAAGCCAAATTACTGTGAAAGCTGAAGTGACAACAGCCCAACATAGGCGCTCCACATTTTTTTCCTGCCTTTTAACTAACAGAAAAAAATCTAAGTCCCTGATTTCATGTCCCTAATTTTGAGAAACATAATATTGACACACTGAGCACGACAGGCTATGAAAACCCAAACAAAAGCCTAGCACCCTCTTCTTCATATTGTAGGAATATATCATCCACATTCACAAAAGCACAGGATAAGGTCTCCTTCCTGCTCCCTCCCCCAGGCCCATAGGGAGATGGAAACAGTTATTTACTCCTCTCTGCACCTGCAGCCTACCTTGCGAGCAGGCTGCTGAGGCTGAGTTATCTTACAGTCCAAACACAGTACACATCACCTTCTGGAACGTGACAAGGAACAAGTCTAAAGGTTCCTTATAGATCCATTTGGTAACAGATAAATGTGTTGGTTGCTATGGAAGAGGCCCGAGGGGCTCTGTAGAGGCTGAGTAGTTAAAGTGGGAGAAAGTTTCAGAAATGTGACGGATACCCCTACCTAGCAGAAGGTACAATGATAAAAGGGAATATTTTCCAATCTCCTTTCATCATTCAGCTCTGCTCACACCTCCTGCGGGCAGACCTGTCTTTCTCTCCAGACTGCATCCTTTGAGCGTCCCCTAATAAAAGCACTTGCGGTCCTGAATAGTAAGTAATGCAGTGAGACCCAAGATTCTGGAGGATTAGGACTGTACATAATTCATCTTAAATTTCCTTGCACCGAGCACAGGGCTTGTCACTTGGCAGGAATGCAAATATATTTCTTTAACTGTTCAGCTGAATTTACCTGATTGTCAGGAAAGAAAAACTTCACGTAACAAAACACATCATCACACCAGGATTATAACAGGGTGGCCTTTGACCTTTACATACTGCATATTTGTAATAAATTATGTTCCTTCCAACAGTCTCTTTTTAAAGTAAAAAATTTTATTTTGCTTTTGTTATAACAGTATCATAAAGCCAACTGTATTTGAAGTGAAAGGTTATTCTTAAAGATTTGTTACATACAGAATTTATAAAATTACTCAAACTCACTAATTAAGAAGAAATGGAAATGATGTTCTTTTGAATTAGTAAAATGTTTTAAGGATAGTTATCATTCAGGTATTTTACTAATTACCCTACTCTAAGTAAGCTAATAAATTTCCAGCTAAATTCTTTCAGCAGACCCTTGCTTTTATAATTGGTTTGGAATGATCTGTTATATGAAAAAATATGAGAAAATAATTTGTTAATAAACAATTTCATGAAATGCCCTCCAATTCTACTTAACCTATTACTATTCCCAGAAAAATTCTTTTTTTGATAAAGAAAATACAAAGTTCAGTCTAGTTACTGCTTTGAATAAGTGAGGTTCAAATTATCGAAGTATTTTTTGTATGTGTCTTTACTCAATGCTATACAATCTCCTGGAAAATGGCTTTTAACTTTATTTTGTGTATTTCCAGACTTTATATTTGTGATAGGCAATATAGAGAAATGCCTTTGATTATCTAATGCCAACAGCATAATGAAACAAAGTTAGTGTCGGGAAACGTGAAAATATTTCCTTACAAATTAGGTTTACTGAAATCTCATATACCAACTTCATAGTTAACAAAAAGAGGCTTACAATGAAATCATAGATGTGTCTCAGTTGGCGCGGAAAAACTTACAGGCTCCTGGCAGCCTTCCTTTAAACAACACCCCCTTTCAATTCATTCAAAGCATTTTAATTTTCATTATGTTCAGGGGGGAAATAAACCAGCCGGCACATTTGTGCTCGCACAGTCATTTTTGTCCCATGGCATGTAATACAAGGCACAGCTCCAAATACGCCTGAAATTCTAGAAGTGCCGACGTAGATCTGTCCTGGGGAAAGCTTTTTCTGAAGCCTCCTCTTCCCCAAGGCTTTTCTCAGTCCCCAGAGCACTGACAGGATTTAAAAGGGGGTCAGATAAGGAGGAAAACACACATGTGACAAGAATAGAGTTGCCACATGAACTACAGCGCGCCTGGTTAAATTTAAAGTTCAGATAAGACAACGCATAGGTTTAATGTAAGTGGGTATCCTGCAGTACAGCCCACGGGGTATTTGGGACATACTTAAGCCCCCCCCAAACAAAAAAATGTGTTCCTTACCTGAAATTCCAATTTAACTGGGCATCCTATATTTTTATTTGCTAAACTGTACCCTTAACTAGAAGGAACTGGAAAAATTACTGTAGATAACTTGGAGAGTGCACTACACACATGGTACCCTTTTCAAGAGAACAGCTGTTTATTTTTTGATCGTATAATTTTTTAAAATCTTTTTTTAGAGCGTGATGTTAGCACACCATTTTAAAAGCATAGCTGGTGAGGAACAGGGAAAGGTAGGGCAATGTGATAGGGCCATGTTATAGCAATGTCCTATTTGGCTTCACCCCAGACCAGCCTCCTCTGAACTGCGGTTCCTAAATTTAATGACTTGTTCTCTCTAAAGTTAAACTCTACAGAATGGTAATTCCTTCCAATTTACATTCTAAACGAGAAGATCAGTTTCTTTTTTTATAATTATGTCGATGATATATTTAGTTGCTGAGTATGGAATAGCAGCATAACCACTAAGAATAATGGCATTTGGCACATGGACTTGTGCTCTTAAGAGGCACAGAGATTGCTAATTTTTGTGCATTGTGGGTTGAAAGGTTTTCTTCCTTTTTCTTTTTCAGAGATTGTTTGTCTCTGGTTAATGTCATGGTTACAAAATAAAGGAAGGAGTAGGGAAGTTGAAGGAAGGAGAGAGAAACATTTCTTGAGAACCGAGCAGTGACAACAAAATTAAGACTGGAATGACAGCAGCCTGTGGCCCTACCTCCATTGACACCGTTGACTTCCCCGCAGTCCCCAGGAGGCCTGTGGGACTCTGCAGACAGCACCTCCAGGCGGCTGACAGCCTGTTCCAGTCTCTGCAGCAGCTCCTGCACGTCTGCCATTCTAGGAAAGCACAGGCACAAACACAGCCCACATGAGCACAAGAGCCAAGGAGCAAACTCACACTTCCAAACTGAACAACAGCAAGGAGGAAAATAAAAATCACTCGGAGTGGCTTTCATTACCCATGGGGTATCTCTACACATCAGGAAAACATGTGAAATTCCAAAGAACATAAAACTTGGAACAAAAAACCTAGCAAGTGACATTGAGCTTATTTTCTACTTGATGCATTGATTTTTTTTTTTACAAGCCAAGTATGCAATACACAAATATTCCCTTCCTTTTCACTGCTCCCAAGGGCCTGTTCGGATGCTTCCTTGTTATATGATACAATCTATGAATAGCACTTTCTTAAAACCTGAGACCATAATCTCAGAATTAATACATGTATCACCGACTCTCATTCTGCTAAATGGTGGGAACATGTTTTAACTGTTTTCAATAATTCTTTCTGTTAAAGTATCATTCTCCAAGGGGACACTAAACTGACCAGTAATCCTTCCTTACTCAACCACATGAAACCAAACAGCCCAGCACAGGAGAACTATGAGTTTATGAAACTTGCGCATTATTTAGCAGGCAAAGAGGCTATCACCTCCAAGAGCTAAATGTTTTTCATTTATTATGAGTGTGTTTTGGTGTTTCTGTTGCCAAATTATTTTAAATGTTCATTATTCTGAATGGTGAGATTTTAATGTATCATATGTTAAAAATGTCTTTCTTTTTTTCATAATGTTGCTGGTTATCTTGGGGCAGAATTTAGCCTTAGGTAGGGTGATTTTTAGAGACAGGGTTCTTTAGTGATCCAATATTCTTGGCTGGGATAAATAGAGCTCGAAACCAACTAAAGGGCTGGAGATAAAAATGAGGCAGAGTATCCACTCTTCCTGTTTCCAAACAGATAATTCAATGAATGTGTGCAGGGAAAGTACCTTACAGTTATCGATCTTTGAATTTACATGTCATTAAGGCAACCTCTGAGGAACGGCACCCAATCTAATTTGGCCAGGTTCATGAGATCCAGCTTAAAGTCACCATAACCCTGGCCATGCCAACTTGACTGCTTTTGGCAAAATCAGGCTGCTGTCCCAAAGAGACTAGAAGATGCCATCTATATTAGTGACTGTAGTTCTCAATTTTAAGAACTTTATCTTACAAGGGTCCATGTGAAATTTACTAGGTGTAGAACATAAATGTCTTAACACAAGAACTAAGAAAATGTTCTTTGTTGACCAGTTTGATGAAAGCATTTCAAATTGTATGTAAAACCAGCACATTGTACCCCATGATTGCATTAATGTACACAGCTATGATTTAATAAAAATAAATAAATAAATCACCACACACACACACACACACACACACACACGCACACACAAAAGAACTTTCCAAGCATCATTCTGAGCAAAAGAGGACCAGCAGTCTTCTAAATTAAAGACACCACCACCTTAGAATATGGGTAACTATCTTTGCTCTCAGATTTTATATTTCTGCTGAGCACCAGAAAATGCATTTCTCTTTTGTATTTTGTATTCCACTAGTTTCGAGTTTAAATACAACAATGATGTGCCAGTGCCGTTTTAAAAAACAAGGTTATATTCATCAAAACACGTGTATAGCTCTGCAATTCTGTGTCGAAATGTCAGATGGCCATCAGCTATGGATGGTGGAGTTTGCTGTCGGTTTTGGAAAGTCATCTCTCCTGAAACTGGCAGCCGTTACTCTTTCAAAATATGGGGCAGTGTTCTCTGCACAGCTGAAATCAGCATCTAATCCTAAGGGGGTTCAAAATTAGAAGTTTCTCATCTATTCTTTTCCTTTTCACGTCAGAGCTTTTGCTTCCATTGCAATTGAAGGAAAAAAAAAAAGGAAGAAGAAATTTAATTGAATCTTTTACGTAATCCTCTTGCAAGGGAACCAGGCATGCTGTAGGTGGGTGAAGGCCATTTGAGAAATGATGAAAGCCCCTCCAATCTTAGAATAGTTGCCCATCTGTTCACAGTTATCTATGCTCCCTGTTACTCAACTTGCCAAATGTTACCACCATAGACCTAGCCCGTGAGAGAAAAAAAAAATGTGTTTGCTTTGTTAGCAAGCTCCCTACCCCCTAACAGAAACGAACCAGCCACCTCCAGCAGCTCACAGATCGAGCTGTTTCAGGAAGGCCTGTTACATTTCACACTTAGGACTTCTGTCTCTGACTGTGGCTTAATCAGACTCCCCCGACAGGCCCCAAACGCACACTATCTAATAGTGCTCCATATGCTGAAAGACAACAGGAGTTAGCCCATAAACAGCAGGGCTGGGATGACGGATGACTGGTATGGAATGCAGCCGAAAAGTGACTCAGATGTCACTCCATGTAAAATCACCACGAGCAAGACAGAGGTCTTGCCTTAGCCTCTAAAGAGGTCCAAAAATAAAGCTCATGCAAGGAAGCTGGAGAGATACCTCTGGTTCAAAATTTTTAGAGCAGCTTCTAAGAGACAATGGAAAATAAATAAAAGACCACAGGAGGAATACATGCCAGCATTTCCAGGGAGCATGACTGGGTCCAAGATGACTGTGTCCTCTTCTCCCAAAATTCTACTCTCTTTCTCCCTTCTGTTCAACCCTACCCCCCACCTCTGACACATGCCCTCAGCTGCTACGTTGACTCTCAAGAATGAGGAAAGAACAGAGCTGAAGATTCTCCAAATTCTTCCCAGGCAACCCATCCATCCAACCCATTCTTCCCAGGCAACCCATCCGCCTTGTTTCAAAGTGGATTTAGCCAAGTTTTGACAAAGAGGTGGAAGTCAGGTATTACAAATTAGGCTGAGGAAACACATAGGCAAAGCAAATATGGATAGCAAGGTCAGGGTAAGGAATGAGTCAGAGCCCAGGGGGACAGGTCACAGACAGAGGTCACTTCCTTCTGAAGCAGGAAGCCAGCAGAATAGGGGGATAGGGCAAGATGGTTGAAAACAATAAATTCTAAGAATCCAATGAGGGGCAAAGAGAATTCTCCAGAACCATGGCTGGAGAATTAAGAAAGTGGGTTTGATGATGTAACAATGGTTGTCCAGATTTTCTAGTCATCCTATCTAAGGATAAGTCAAGTGCAAGGAGAGGTCAGAGGGTACACACAACCATTTGACCATAGTCTGAGGGTATGTGGAAAGGAAAAGGAGGAGGAACACTGTATTTTATAACTTTCTTCTTTTAAAGATTTTGGGAAACTACACTAAGGTTAATCTCAACTC